TTCTTTCTTTCTTTCTTTCTTTCTTTCTCCCTTCCCTTCTTCCCTTCTTTCTTTTTCTTCTCTTTTCTTTCCTCCCCTTCCCTCCTTCCCTCTCTTCCTTCTTTTCTTCCCCCTTTCCTTCCTTCTTTCATTTCTTCCTTCCTCCCTTCCCCTTCCCCTCCTACCCTCCCACCCTTTCTTTGTTCATTTCTTTCTTTCTTTTTTCCTTCTTTCTTTCCTTTTCTTTCCTTCTTCCTTTCTCTCTCTCTCTCTCTCTCTCTCTCTCACTCTCTTTCTTTCTTTCTTTCTTTCTTTCTTTCTTTCTTTCTTTCTTTCTTTCTTTCTTTCTTTCTTTCTTTCTTTCTTTCTTTCTTTCTTCTTTCCTTCTTTCTTTCTTTGCTTACTTGAAGATGTGTGGACTTCAACTCCCAAAATTGCTGGCTGAGAAATTCCTGGGATTGAAGTCTACACATTTTCAAGTGGCCATTGCTGAAACATTGCTGTAGAGGTTGAAACAAGTTCAGATGATGTTGTCAGCTTACTGTAAATACATTATAGCATGTAATGCTTTCTAAAGCATGTTTATTAATTTATGATTTAAAAAAATCTCTGATGAATTCTCGCCATTTTGTTCCAGCTGCTATGGAGAAGAACCTCACCTTATAATTGCTTACAGAGATTTTTCTGTATACTTAGGTTCCGTTCACCACATCTTGCTAAACTGGGGTTTGTGACATAAATTGAAATTAGTTTGCTATCTGAGCCAAAACCTGAAAGATCACATTATCTGTGAATCTAGGATAAGTTTAGAATATAACAGACATTCTACAAGTTTGGTTAAGTCATGTGTCCTTTCAACATATTATTGATACAACATAATTACATTATTTCATATAATATACATCTTCAGCATTTAGAAGTGTCACTTTAAAATATGTTTTCTGTTTCTCAAACATTAGCTGACTTCTTTTGGAATACTATTGGTTTTTGTTTTATGAATCACCATTGATTCGAATTTGAAATTGCTTTCTTTTACTCATACTTTCAGAAGAATAATTGTTATTTTCCTGATTCATCCTCCTGTGAAATTAAAGCATTTACATGTTGAGGCACTAGAGGCCTTTTCTAATCACTATGACTTAGTTATTAACTCCCCTCCATGACAAAAACAGTGGGAGAGGTAAACAAGCCAAGGAAAGAAAAAGAATACATTACTCTACTTATTTATACCTCCCACATTTTACCCAGAGATACTCCTTAGTTTATTTAATCCCTGCATAAAAGATTAGATTGAGCTATCATAAGTCATCCAGTAAGCTTCATTAACAAGCAGAAATTTGAATTTGTGTCTCTACTTTTGTTGCAGCATTCTTAATTACTGTTCCATACTAATTTGCTAAGTTTCATAAGTGTTTCCTAATTCTATGTCTGTCTCATAATAATTCAGATCTTTTTCCTTCCTTCCTTCCTTCCTTCCTTCCTTCCTTCCTTCCTTCCTTC